GTTCAATTAGTGAGGAATTCTAAACAGAATTTGGGCTGTGGTAGCCAATTAGTAAAAAGTAACAAGGGTTGTTTACACAGCCTTCTTGGCTGTAAATTTCCCATCTCTGGGTGATAGGGATGTCTCTTGTACCTCCTGGTGCAGGGAGGTACCTTTCCCATGGGAGACTTATTTCCTGCTTTCTGGGGACAGAGGAAGGTCTGAGTGTCCTTGCACAGCCTGTCTCTTACGTAACTTTTATTTTAAAAGATTTTATTTATTTGAGAGAGAAAGCATAAGCAGGCAGAAGGGCAGAGAGAGAGGTAGAAACACTGCTGAGCAGGGAGCCCCATGTGGGGCTAGATTCCAGGATGCTGGGATTATGACCTGAGCCGAAGGCAGACGCTTAACCAACTGAGCCACCCAGGCATCCCTTAAGTAACTTTTATTTTAATAATTAATATGCCAACGTGGCCTATGGTAGGGCCGCCTGCCATCGGCCCCTACAGCTCAGTCTGACAACCCTAGCCAACAGGAAGCCTTGGTTTGATGGAAACCTCCAAGAGCTAGAGGAGAGCCAGTTTGCTGCACAGCTTAAAGTGAAGTTCTCAGGTTATCAGTCTCCAAAACAGCTCTCATTGCAGGAAGACAGGAAGATCATAAGGGAAGCATAAATCATTTTCCTCAAAGTAAAAACATTCTATTAAAACTGAGGGCAGGAACTATTTGATTGTGGCTATAAAGTAATACAATGCATTTTCATGAATGATTTATGGACTTAACAAAAATCTCCCAACTTTGGGTTGGAGAACATCACACTATTAATCACTAAGGTTTCTTCTAGTTCTATCATTCTTATTTTATAAACGAAGTTAGTGGTATAGCCAAAATTATAGCTCAGGTCTTCTATTTCTCGATTTAAGCACCTTGCCTCATAGCAGTAGCCTGTATATTCTAGATTAAAATGTAGATTCATGACCCCTCTGATTAAACTCTTGTAGTTAATCAGAATGGCCGTTGGATCTAAAAATCTACATTTTAAAGAATTTACTTAGTGGGGCACCTGAGTGGCTCAGTCGGTTAAGCGTCTGCCTTCGGCTCAGTTCATGATCCCGGGGTCCTGGGATCGAGTCCTGCATCGGGCTCCCTGCTGAGCTGCTTCTCCCTCTGCCTGCCACTCCCCCTGCTTGTGCTGTCAAATAAAATAAATAAAATAAAATATAATAAAATAAAAATAATCTACTTAGCATATTCTTCCATTCATTGAAGTTTGAGAATCACTGTCACAGCCTGAAGTCCTGTTGTTATTTTATAGTCAGAACATCCAAGACAACTGTGGAGTGTTCTCTACTTGGGATGCCTAGCTGTCCACCAGGGATTGGGGACTCCTGCCTCCAAAAACTATATATCCTTATACCTAATGCCTTCATGGGCACTCAACACATACATTTTGAATACTGAAATATGCTTTATTTTGGAAAGAAATGGGAATTCAAAATCGATGCCTCACAATTTTTCCTACTTTGGATATGAAATCCAGTTGTTTTATGACCTTAGGCTCCTGCTTTTGCTTTTTAGGCAACTTACAGGCAATTAGCATTATCTTTAGTATTAGAGCATGGAGTCAGCAAACTGCCTAGCACTAGAGACCAAATGTAACCTACTGCCTGCTTTTGTAAACAAAGTTTTGTTGGGACACAGCCACACTCATCGCTTTACCTATTGTCTCTGGCTGCTTTTGTGGTACAGCGGGAGACCTGATTAGTTGTGACAGAAACTTCATGGCCCAGAAAGCCTGAAATAGTTATCTGGCCCTTTACAGAAAAAAGTTTGCTGCCCCCTCCACTAGAAGGAAAAAGGTAATTTGTTTCAGATTTTGCCTTCTTAAGGTTTTTTTTTTTTTTTTTCTGGTTAAAGATCTGATGTACAACTGCTAACAACAGCCAGTAAAAATTAAGTGGGATTTTTTTTTTTTGAGCGATATATCATAAAATATTCTCTTTTTCTGAACCTACCTACCTACTGAGCCTTTTTGGGAACCTAAAATTTATAGTGCTTAAGGCAGTGTTTCTCAAAGATCTCAAGTAGATCCCATACTATCTGCCTTTAAATCATCTGGAGTGCTTGTTTAAAATGCAGATTCCTGAATCCCACCAAAAACCTACTGAATGAGAATTTCTGGGGGGTATGCTTGGACATCTGATAAACTCCCTCTTTTGTAACTATCAATGTATCTGGCTCCTGTATCTGTTACGACACTCAAGATATATTTATTTGTTTACCTGCTTGTCTCTTAAGACTGTGAACTCCTTCAGGGTAGGTATTGTGTTGTTATTCATTACTTTTATATTCCAAGCTGCAGGGTGGGCACATTTAATTGCTGTAGTTCTCAAAGGGTAGTCCACGCATGCTGGGGGTCATTTCAGGGATCACACAATCAAAACTATTAATACTAAGACATGATTTGCTTTTTTTGCTGTGTTTCTGACATTTGCACTGTTGATGCAAAAGCAATGGTGGGTAAAACTGCTGGCACCTTAGCAAGAATTAAGGCAGTGGAAATAAATTGTACTGTCAGTCATTGTATTGTGCACTGCCATGCGTTCCTAATAAAAATAGTGCCCATTTCACTTAAGAATACTGTTCATGAAGTAAAAATTATTAATTTTATTAAATATTAACCCTCGCATTCACATCTTTTTCATATTCTGTGTGACAAAATAGTATGCCTAAAACAGTTCTGCATCCTGAAGTATGCTGGTCTGTTGAGGAAAAAGCACTTAACAAGTGATTTGAATGGTAACTGCACTAGCTACTCTTTTTTTCATGGATCATTTTTATTTAAAAGTATAACAGAGAACTAAGACTAGTCAGATTTAGTTATTTGACAGAGCCTGTCTTGAAAACAAAGTGAGCTTGTTAACTTCAAGGAAAACAACTGACAGTATTTGTTGCCAATGATAAAATGTGACCCTTCAAGAAAAAAGCAGACTTTAAAGAACTTTTATTTACTAAGAGCTTGACAGCTTCCCTGTACTTAAAGGCTCTTCTAATGAGACCGGTGGTGATTAAAAAATATATATATTGTATAATGAAATGTGTTAACATTTGGAAGACTGAATAGCACAGTGAACTGTTATTTTCCAAATAACCAATGTTTGATGTCATAAATCATGTATAGGTAAAAGAGCCATTCAAAGTGCAAGATAGACCAATGGATTTTAATGTATCAGAGTACAAAATATTCACTGATATGTTTTCAGATTCCATATTGCAACTAACCTTTAAGAAGCCACTATTTGTTGAATTTTATCTGAAGAGGCAGTTAAAATACTTCTTTCTCCAACTACATAGTTGAGGGAAGCTGGGTTTTCTTCATATACTTCAACCAAAACTAAAGTTGTAACAGTTTGAATGCAGAAGTAACTATGAGAATCTTACAATTTTCTACGAAACCAGACATTAAAGAAATTTACAAAAATGTAAAGCAATGTCATTCTGTCCACTGATTTTTTCATTTTTGAAAAGTTATTTTTCCGTTAAAAAATTTATTGACAAGAAACGGGTTTTTAATTTTATTTTAAATAAATTAGTAAACATTTGAATTTGTTTTAATTTCTAGTAAACAGTGATAGATATAACCTACATAAACAATACACTTTAGGGTCCTCAATAATTACAGTGTAAAAGGTTCCTGAGGCCAAAAAAGTTGAGAACAGCTGTTATGGATACAGAGATTTGGAGATAGAGGACCTAAATTCAAGGTCTGGTTTTGTCACTTAGAACTGAGTTTAGGTAAGTTGCTTACGTGCAGCTCTGAAGACAGACACTGTGCTGTTTTGGCTCCATCACTTGCTGACAGTATGACTTTGGATAAGTCATTTTACCTTTGCAAATAGGGAAAACTATAGTCTACTTCAAGTTGTGGTGAGGACTAAATGGGATTACACTTGTAAAATGCTTACAAGCCTACCTAGAAGTAGTAAGAGCTCAGTAAATGCTAGCTCCTGTTAGTCTGTGATATTAGCTAGTCATCTGACAAGATTCTATAGAGAATGGGACAACTCTGGCATTCCTTACCCTGTCCCTGGAGAGCGGAAGCTTTTTAGGTGTTGTAAGTTTCAGAACGTATAAGTAAACTTGTGGATATTTGTGTGTGGCTGTTAACCTGTAAGAGAATTCATGTGTTATAAAAATTCTTTTTTCTCGGTTTCTGAAGAAATAACGAAACTGAAAAACATCCCTGAATCCTTGCCCTATAAACTAGTTAGAATATAGGCAAGCGTCTTACTGAATACTCAAAGGAGCTGAGGTCTTCCAGAAAACTAAATACTCAGGAGAGTAGGGCAGGGCCATTAGCTTCATGACTGTGGGAAATTCATTTAAACTTTTCACCTCAATTATGTCATCGTGTTTGGACAAAAATATCTCGTTTCCAACCTCTCGTGCGGCTTTTAAATCTGGTGAAGCTCACCTCTACATTTTTTTACACTTATCTTTTTGGCAGCCTCGAAATCCTAAGAAATGTAAGGGGGAGGGGGCAAAGCCCCAGAGATAAACTTTCTTCTTCGCAAATGCCAATAGTATCCATTTTCCTCCACACCCAGAAGTGGAAGCTGCTGCTAGCGCCCTATCGTCTAATTGCTCACTAGGGGCGTGGCATCTGCGTCTCCCTCGGGTTCTCCGCATCTTTCCCGGCCCTTTAGTACAGTTAGCCAGAGTAGTACGAGGGTCAGCGCGCCTCTTTTCCCATCTAGTCTACCGAGTGAGGAGGCATGGCTGGTTAATTCTGAAGAAGCTTTCTTTCACTGAAACTCAAAATGCTCCCTTACACCTATAATGTCTTATACCCCATCCCGCCTTTCAAAGACCTCCGACCTCAGACGGAGATTCCGCGCGCCGGCTCAGAGCGGAGGGCACGCCCCACGCACCGCCCACACGGCCAGCGCTTCGGCTCCCTGCCCGCAGGAAGGAGCCACGTCTCGCGCGATTCCTTCCACCTCTCGCGACACTTCCTGCCAGTGTCCTGCGGCCCTCCTTGCCCCACCCATCGCTTCCACGCCGCGGTCCTCGCCACCTCACCTTTGCTGTCGGTAGCCCGAGCCGCTGCTCGCCCGCTGGGAGCGCAGTGGAGCCCAGTGTTGGGCACGAGTCCGGCGGGGCCGCAGGCTCCGCCCTGCTGCGCCCCGCCCCGCCTGCGCTCGGGGGAAAGACCGCCCCGGGGACATGTCGTGCCCCCCTCAGCGAGGGCAGGAGTGTGTGAAAGGCAGCGGGGCTGTCAGGTGAGCCCGTGGTGGCGTGTTGGGGTGGGCGGCTGGGCGGAGGGAGGCCCCACTGGGCTGCGGGTTGGAGGCACTGCGGGATGGGGATGCCGGGAGCGGAGGAGGACGCGATGCCTGAGGCAGAGAAGGGAGGTGGTGGGAGAACCACCCGGGGGGGTGGGGGTGACCTCGGTCCGGGTGAAGCGTCCAGGCTTCCCTTTGTACGGACTGCGTTCTAAGGCACCGGCAAATTATCTTGTTCCCTCGGTGGCTCCGCTCCTCTCTGCAGGGCTGGAAGCGGGAGGAGGCAAGTCCCCGAGCTCTGAAGTCCCAGATCTGGGCGGCAGGAGGCCCAGGGTCGTGGGGGAGAGGGACGCGCCAAGGTGGCGGAGGTAAATTGGTGCTAGGAAAAAGGATAAAGTGGCCGAAAGCCGGGCGAGCGTTCGCTCAGAGGAGGCCAGGTGTTTGCCATCCGGCTGCGCTCGGTGCTGAGATACCAACAATGCTCACTCCCCTCAGGTTGAGTACACATCGGTGTGTGCAGTGTTCCTTGCCAAGTGGTCAGAGTGTTGGAGGGGTAGGACCATATAGGTCAGAGTCGTCTTTGAGAGAAGGAGGCTTTTGAGGTCACTTGTTACTTTTCTCCCGAGACTTGGACGGTGTGAGTGGGTGCGCGAGTGCGCACAGTGGCTCAAACTAGGGTTCGTATTTTCAGAATTTGTGCCCTAGTCGCTAATTAAGTACACTTCAAGGATCAATAAAAGGGGACAGACAGGTTCTTCGGACGCCTGGGTAGCTCAGGTCATGATCCCAGGGTCCTGGGATCGAGCCCCGCACCGGGCTCCCTGCTCCGCGGGAAGCCTGCTTCTCCCTCTCCCACTCCCCCTGCTTGCGGTCCCTCTCTCGCTGTGTCTCTCTCTGTCAAATAAATAAAACCTTAAAAAAAAAAAAAAGGTGACAGGTTCTTAAGTGAATAGTTTTACTTTCAATATTTTAAGATTCCAGTGATCACGTAAGTGTGTAATGATAGGGGCCTGGAGCCTAAAATCTAGGTGTTAAGACAGTTGGAGTAAATTTTTTGCCTTTAGCAATAGACTTAGATGGAAATTGGGGTAGGATGTTTTGTTGCAATCACGTTTTTAACCATATGTTTCTTCTCATTCTAGGTTTGTCTTTTTTTAAAGTTATTTTAAGTTCATTTTTTAAAAAATTGTATTTATTAGAGAGAGAGTGAGCAAGAGCAGGAGCAGGGGGAGGAGCAGAGGGAGAGGGAGGAGCAGACTCCCCACTGAGCAGGGAGCCCGATGCCATGCAGGGCTCATTCCAGGACCCTGAGATCATGACCTGAGCCAAAGGCAGATGCTAACTGACAGAGCCACCCAGGCGCCCCTCTGGTTTGTCTATATGAAAGCCATGCAGTTTTCTGAGAGAATTGGGAAATCAGTGTAAAGTGGTTGGTCTGACTATAAAAAGCATTTTGTTTAAAGCTCCCCCTCAAATCCAGCTGTTAATTTATATGTTATTTCTTGAGATTTTTTTTCCCAGAAATGACACCTTCAAGTGACCAGTTGTGTATGTGTGTGTGTGTGTGTGAGGGAGAGAGAGAAATTTCACTGTTAATAGAAGAAAAATGATTTTTCCTGATAGTTTTCTTATATCTTGTCTTTTAGAGAGCAAAATGTCATCAGCAGAATCACACCAGGAACAATTGTCCCAGTCAGATCCATCCCCGTCACCAAACTCATGTAGTTCCTTTGAGCTACTAGACATGGATGCTGGCAGTTTGTATGAGCCAGTTTCTCCTTATTGGTTTTATTGTAAAATAATAGATTCTAAGGAGACATGGATTCCTTTCAACTCTGAGGATTCACAGCAGCTGGAAGAGGCATATGGTTCTGGTAGGATGAAAATGATGACTTTTAATAGATTAAGACTATTTCTCTCAGTCTAATGTAATAGTTCTTATATTGAGTGCTATTAAAAATATTAGATTTTTTTCTAGTTTTCTCTGTAGCATATTTTGCAGTTCTCTCTTCTATAGCATTTTTATATAGAAATAGAAGTTTTGTACTACTAACCAGTCAATTTGTAATATTTAAGAATTTGGTCTGTATTTGAAAACAGTACTTATTATAATTTCTGCGTAGTTATCTAATAATATTTCTTTTTTTTTTTTAAAGATTGTATTTATTTGAGTGAGAGAGAATGAGAGAGAGAGAGAGCACATGAGAGGGTGAGGGGGGGAGGGTCAAAGGGAGAAGCAGACTCCCTGATAAGCAGGGAGCCTGATGCAGGACTCGATCCCGGGACTCCGGGATCATGACCTGAGCTGAAGGCAATTTCTTAACCAACTGAGCCACCCAGGTGCCCTCTAGTAATATTTCTTATGTTCAGCATATGTTTCAGTTTTTGTTTATGAAGAATGGGGGCATGTCACATTGCAAAAGAATGAATTCTTTAACTTGTCACTTGTTTTTTCTTCTTTTATGAAATAAGAATGACGCGGTAACTGTTTTATCATCATCATGGTCATGGTTGTTAATTTACTTTTTGGCTCCTCAAGCAAAAAATTCAGAAAACCCTTATATACTTTTGTTTGTTTAATGGGGCACGACTGTCTCTCAGAAAAAGAACAAAACAGTGTTGGGGTATTATCTTTTTTATGTATCATTAAAACCAAGAATGGTTTTGATGGCTTGGGAAGTAGTGAAAAAATGCAATTCCGTTTTGCTTAATGTTTAGCCAAGTAGAAAATGTTCATTCTTATGCTCATACCATTATTTAGAGTATAGCTCAGAATTGTATTTTGGGAGATTTATTTTTATATATGTACTTCTTTCCCCCTTTCCAATCCTTGATAGGAAAAGATTGTAATGGGAGAGTTGTCCCCACTGATGGGGGCAGATATGATGTGCATTTGGGGGAGAGGATGCGGTATGCTGTATACTGGGATGAGCTAGCATCGGAAGTGAGACGATGTACCTGGTTTTACAAGGGAGACAAAGATAATAAGTATGTTCCCTACTCAGAGAGCTTCAGCCAAGTATTAGAGGTATTTCTTTGACTCCTTTTCACTTATTTTCATTTTTTTCTTCTCTTATTTAATAATCTTTTTTTGTGACTTATTTTTGTGAAATTTCTAGAAAGAGTTTGGTTCTATCTGGATCACATGTATATCATTTCTTTTGCAAGTTAGTTTCAAGATAAAGTAGTTTTATTTTCAGATTTTAAATTACTATGTAAACTGTTATGCCTTTAAGTTAAAATTTTTTCCCTAATGGTGATCATTGTTAATAATATTTAAATTATGACCACAGGATTGGTCTTTTCAGCCTTTTATTTTTCTGGCTCTGGAAACAGTCTGAAATTTGGTTTCTTTAAATTGGAGTAGACATTAGTACTATTGGAAGAAGTATATCAAAATGTGAACAGTGATTTTACCCAGTCTAGATGATAAAAGTAGGCGTGAACTTTTTGTTGTTCTATACTGTTATCTGTTGTAATTTTAAAAGTATTTTCAAATATTTGATAAATCGGAGTCGGATATTCTTATGTAATTGTTTATCTAGCAGTATTCTTGTAAAAAAAAGTTCAATTTTAATAGAAAAGCTATTAGAGAAATCTAATGAAATGTGTTTTCTCTTAAGGAAACGTACATGCTTGCTGTAACTCTGGATGAGTGGAAAAAGAAACTGGAGTCTCCCAACAGAGAAATTATTATATTACACAATCCAAAGGTAAAGCAAATTAAGCCTTTCTTTCATGTGGGATTAAAGGTTAATTGCATTCCTAAGGAGAACTTAATTGGTTTCTTTTTCATAGGGATTCTATTTAGGATACCCTTTGGAAATTTTTACATTGCATTCACAATTATGAAACTTGTAGCCACTGCCACTATTTTTTACCTCCTTCACCTTATACAAGAGAATTTTCTTAGAGAAAATTATGCCACTGTAGATTAAGAATATCACTGACATATTATGGGGGCATATTTTACATGTGTAGGGTATTATTGAAAGATCTGTTAGCCTGATTTTTTTTTTTTTTTGGCTTTATTGAGGTATAATTGACAAAGTCGTAAGGTATTTAACATGTACAACATTGGCCTACTGTATTTTCAGGGTTCTCATTTCAAGCCATCAGAGTTGCATATCAAAACTCCACTTGAGATCTGACTATGTATTCTCTTTTGAAAGACATGTATGGTGTCCCTCAGCGTGTATAAATAGAGATGTCTATAATGTAGAATATATTTATTGCTCTGATCTTTTCTATTTAAGCTTATGGTGCATTACCAGCCAGTTGCAGGGTCTGATGAATGGGGTTCAACACCCACTGAACAGGGTCGACCAAGAACAGTGAAGAGAGGGGTTGAGAACATCTCTGTTGACATTCATTGTGGTAATGTTGTTTATTTTTTCTTCTGATATACTTATTTATGACTTAAATTATGACCCTTTTTCTATGGTTTTGGATTACCTCAAGGCTTAAAATTGATTTAGTCATATGGGCTTTTTATGAGTTAAGATTAGCATCATTTCATCTACTAAGAATCTTTTTTTTTTATTGATTGATTGATTTTAGAGAGAGGGAGCATGCAAGCGGGAAGGACAGAGGGAGAGGAAGAGAAATCTCAAGCAGACTCTTCGCTGAGTGCGGAGCTGGAGGTGGGACTCCATCTCATGACCCTGACATCACAACCTGAGCCGAAACTTAGTCGATTGCACCATCCAGGTGCCCCACTAAGAATCTTAATAGATATAAAAATCTGTTTTAGGGCGCCTGGGTGGCTCAGTCGTTAAGCGTCTGCCTTCGGCTCAGGTCATGATCCCAGGGTCCTGGGATCGAGTCCCACATCGGGCTCCCTTCTCTGCGGGAGGCCTGCTTCTCCCTCTCCCACTCCCCCTGCTTGTGTTCCCTCTCTCGCTATCTCTCTCTCTGTCAAATAAATAAATAAAATCTTTAAAAAAAAAAAAAAAGAAAAAAATCTGTTTTAAAGTTGCTAAGTATATATATTGTGGAATAGGTAAAATTTGGCAGTACTAATCAAGAAGTCACTTGGTACAAATGAACTGATGTAGTTCTAATTTTAAGAAGTGTGATTCCACCTGTTTGATTAAAAATTAATTTCTGGTAACTCCTGTTCTTGAAGATTGTGAACTAAGGAAAGCTTCTTCGGTAGAACTTTGATGGTTATCCATTGCTAGTATCTAGCTAGGGCCATTTATGGTTGGTTTTGTAATATGTTTAACTGGATTATAAAATTCCTTTTATCTCTGAGAGGAGATGGCTTGTCTTAGACTTACTATACTTGTAAGTCTTAGACTTACTATAATTTAAAAAGATGAGTTTGGGGACACCTGGCTGGCTCAGTCAGAGGAGTATATGACTCTTGATCTCAGGGTTGTAAGTTCGAGCCCCATGTTGGGCATAGAGATTACTTAAATAAAAACTTAAAAAAAATAAAAACTAAAAAGATGAGTTTAAAAATTTAGAGTTTATATACACACCATACATTATTGGTATAATTGATAAAAATGGAATATTAGATAAAAGTATCCTACCAATGTTATGCTGCCTGAATTTGATAACTGTAGTTATTTAAGAAAATATTCTTAGGAAATACATATTAAAGTATTTAAAGGGTTAAGTATTTAAAGAGGTATGATGTGTGCAGTCTGATAATATATGCAACCTGCTTCCAAATGGTTCAGAAAAATAAATATGTATAAACACATACACATAGAGAATAATAAAGCAAATGTAAGATTAAAGTTTTGAATCTATAAAAAGTATATAAGAGTGTTCATACTATTCTTTCATGTTTTCTGTAAGGTTGCAGTTATTTCAAAACAAAAAGTTTAAAGCCTGAAAAAATTTTTTACAGATTTATGTCAAGATAAATTAGAAACACAGTAAAATCACTATATTTTTACTAAGTAAAATATAGGACTGTTTTGTGTCCTTTAAATGATCTGCTTGGGGGCACTTGGGTGGCTCAGTTGTTAAGCATCTGCCTTCGGCTCAGGTCATGATCCCGGGGTCCTGGGAATCGAGCCCCACATCGGGCTCCCTGCTCCGCGGGAAGCCTGCTTCTCCCTCTCCCACTCCCCCTGCTTGTGTTCCCACTCTCGCTGTCTCTCTCTCTCTGTCAAATAAATAAATAAAATCTTTAAAATAAATAAATAAATAAATAATCTGCTTGGGGAGCCTGAATGGCTCAGTCGGTTAAGGGACCAACTTTTTTTTTTTTTTTTTAAAGGTTTTATTTATTTATTTGACAGAGAGAGGGAACACAAGCAGGGAGAGTGGGAAAGGGAGAAGCAGGCTTCCCACCAAGCAGGGAGCTCGATGCGGGCGGGGCTCAATCCCAGGACCCTGGGATCATGACCCGAGCCGAAGGCAGACATTTAACGACTTGAGCCACCCAGGTGCCCAAGGGACCGACTCTTGATTTTGGCTCAGGTCATGATCTCTGGGTTGTGGGATTGAGCCTCTGCTGAGTGTAGAGTCTGCTTGTCCCTCTCCCTCTGCCCCTCTCCCCACTTCTCAAATAAATAAATAAATAAATAAATTCTTAAAGAAAATGATCTTCTATTTTAATTTACCCATCTTTATAGCCTATTCTTTGTGAATATTTGACTATAAACAGAATATAAGACTAGTTATATGAAATAATTTTTCTTTTTAATTTCATTTACAGGAGAACCTTTACAAATAGATCACTTGGTTTTTGTAGTCCATGGGATTGGACCAGCTTGTGATCTCCGCTTTCGAAGCATTGTACAGTGTGGTAGGTTTGCAAAGCATGTAAGATTAAATCATTTAAGGGGAATATTAGTGCTCCTGTAAGCTGTTGTTTTTAGTCTTTTGTCTTATCTGCATAATAAGATTTGGAGAGATAAAGACAGGTGGCCAAGGTAGTAAAGCTTCTTAACTTAGACCTAAAGTACTAGTAAATTCCTTAGGCTAATAGTTTATACTCTTAACTAATAATTCTTGAATGAACAAGCCCTTAATCCTTATAAAATTGTTTTATGAATGTGATGGTCCTCTTTCTAACCATTCCAAATTTAAAGGGAACCAAAAAGATGTTATCATTTATTTTTTATTTTTTAAAAGATTTTATTTATTTATTTGACAGAGAGAGACACAGCGAGAGAGGGAACACAAGCAGGGGGAGTGGGAGAGGGAGAAGCAGGCTTACCGCGGAGCAGGGAGCCCGATGTGGGGCTCGATTCCCAGGACCCCGGGATCATGACCTGAGCCGAAGGTAGACGCTTAACGACTGAGCCACCCAGGTGCCCCGATGATATAGTTTAAATGAATAACAGAACCAACAATCATTTTTGTAATTCATTAGTGTGGTAAAGCTCTTGATATTCTACTTAGAATATTTAGGTCATTAGTATAACTTGATTTTGAAAGGTAGTGTGCTCTAAAACTTAATTGTACATATTCAGAGTATGTACCGACTTGGGAATCTTCTCCTACTGGGTAATGCTTCTAAGCGTAAACCTTCTGGAAGGTTAAGAGACTGATGTAGTATGAATTTCAAATAGCAGTTGTTTTTTTTTTAATCTAAAATATTGGTTACTGGTTGTTTGTAAGAACCAGAAAGTTAGGAATCTAACTGTAAGGCCAATTGACACAGTCCTGGGATTTTTTCCTTTTTTAAAAAATTGAAATCGTTCCCATGACACAGAAGTTTTGAAGTTAGCTTTTCTTTAGATAAAATGTTTTTTATAGTAAAGTTCTGTGGTAAAGGAACAGCTTTTGTGCACTAATAATATTTCCTGAACACTACTTTGCTATTTTTGACTCAAGTAAATATGTGTTCTAAGCAAATGGAGAGAGTATAATTACATGATCTATTGCATCCTTATTCTGTGAATTCATTGCTTCCCTGGTGATGCATAAGTTAATTTCTTTTCCAGTTAACGATTTTCGCAGTGTTTCCTTGAACCTGCTACAGACACATTTTAAGAAAGCCCAAGAAAATCAGCAGATTGGGAGGGTAGAATTTCTTCCAGTCAACTGGCATAGTCCTTTGCATTCTACTGGTGTGGATGTGTGAGTAATACCTTATGTCTTTGAGTTGTTAACTAAGATTGTAATGCGTTTTCTGATCATTGATATGGTTGGGATGTTTGTGCTATAGCTGATTATATAGAAATTTGTTCAGTGAGAAGTTTTTTATACTTCTATGTCTTTCTTAGAGATACATTATTAAATGCTGACCAATCCCTTGGTTTAACTAGCCTGATTAGGAGTAGAGAACTGTGTGTATCTTCTAGTATGTTTTATTAGCTCATTAGTATCTACTATTACAGCTATATTATTTCTTTAGCATTAAAACCAAACATTGCTTTCTTCCTATAGTGTATAAGCATTTCGATCTTTAGATGTCAAAGCCAGCCTACCTCAAGATGTACAAAGTATTTTGTTCCTTTTGTGATCATGTTTAGATAATATTTGTCCGTGTTGGGGAAAAAAAAGGAAATCCCCAAACATTAAATTATTAGCGTTTATAACTTGAGGTATAATTCGTATAACTTTTAAGTGATGGCTTTCTTAAGTCACAAACCCAGTTTTGTTTGTAGGTTTTATGGTAATGTCAGAGAAGGTTGCCTTATGTTAAGGGTATTTTGGAGAGCTATAGGCTCTCCAGAAAGAAGTGTGTTCATAATATAGTTCCAGGGTAGAATGGCAAATGCTTTTCTGGAAGATAAAGGAAATAGTAGTATTTCCATGTTGGTCTTGAAAATGACTTTTCTGATTCTGTGTCTCTCAGTTCTTAATACTGTATGATTTGAGCATATTCCATGTGCCAAATGTTGTATTGTGTTGCTAGTTATGGAGTTCACATTCTTCATGTTTGAGCTAATGCTAAGAGGTTCCTAAGGGCAGATTGCCTTCTCAACTACAGAAGCTCTTGAATCTTTGAGGACTCTTTCTGGGTATTTTGAGAAAGCTTTAACTGGAAGTTGATTTGGATAATGTCAGCATGGTTTTCCTTTTTGAGATATGAGTTCTGTTTGCCTTTGGCATCTGGCAGTCTCACTTTCTTTCAGCTTTCAGAAATTCTGCATTGAGAAAGGGAGCTGATCCATTTATCAGCTGACTTGTGATCAAAAAACCTTAATGCTGAGAATTCTAGAAAAATCATCTTGTATTTTCTGTCTTTAAAAATCCTTTATTATATAGGGCGCCTGGGTGGCTCAGTTGGTTAAGCGACTGCCTTCGGCTCAGGTCATGATCCCAGGGTCCTGGGATCGAGCCCCGCATCGGGCTCCCTGCTCGGCCAGAAGCCTGCTTCTCCCTCTCCCACTCCCCCTGCTTGTGTTCCCTCTCATGCTGTCTCTCTCTCTCGTCAATTAAATAAATAAATAAAATCTTAAAAAAAAAAAAATCCTTTATTATAGAGAATTTTGTAAAAAAAAAAAATAGCTTATATAAGGAATCTTCACGTACAGATTATGATTACCCAGGGCAAACAAGCCTCAACACATGGCCAGTTCTGCTCTATCCATTATTTTTCAACCTCTGTCTACTGCCCATCCTGCCACCATATTATTTTTGAACCAGATCTTAAGATACTATATCATTTCATCTATAAATGTTTGTTTGTATATCGGAAAGAACTTTTTAAAATATATTAACCATAACACCATTATCACATCTAAAAAAATTCTTTTTTTTTTTTAAAGATTATTTATTTGAGAGAGAGCTTGCACGAGCAGGGGGAGGGACAGAAGGAGAGGGGACAAGCAGACTGCCTGCTGAGCACCGAGGCACCCCTAAAGAAATTCTTAATATCAGCAAATATACAGTGTTCAAATTTCCAATTGTCTAGTAAATGTTGTAGTATATATATATATACACACACACACATTTTATTTATTTATTTAGGTTAAAGATTTTATTTATTTATTTGACAGAGAGAGATTGAGCACAAGCAGGGGGAGAAGGAGGTAGAGGAAGAAGGGGACTCCCCACTGAGCAGGGAGCCCAACACAGGGCTTGATCCCAGGACCCTGGGATCATGACCTAGCTTAAGGCAGACGCTTAACTGACTGAGCCATCCAGGAGCCCCTTGTTGATATGTCTGTTAAGTCTCTCTTAATCTCTTGATTACCTTTCCATCTCTTATTTCCTTGCAATTTATGTATTGAAGAAACTGGTGTTTGTCTTGTAGAGTTTCTCACTAACGTGCTGATAACATCGTTTTGACGTAATTAGACATGTCTGAGTCCTTTATACTTCTTTATTATAGGTACTTGTCTCTTGTATCTTTAAATATCTAAGTCTAAGCTTGAAGGCTAAGCTGGGTAATAACTTAGAGGAAGTTATGGAATGTATTAGGTTTTCTGCTTAAAATACCTTTTTTTTTTTTTTTTTGTCAGAGATCTGCAGCGAATAACTCTGCCCAGCATTAACCGCCTAAGGCACTTTACCAATGACACAATTCTGGATGTCTTCTTCTACAATAGCCCCACCTACTGTCAGACTATAGTGGACACAGTTGCTTCTGAAATGAACCGAATATATACACTTTTTCTTCAGAGGAACCCTGATTTCAAAGGGGGTGTATCCATTGCCGGTCATAGTTTAGGTAACAAATTAATTCCGTGTGACCAGAGAGCACTATCACATATTAAGGACACCTGTTTTTGAAGTACTATGTCTTTTATCCATATCAGATTTAGAGGTCTAGAACTGGTCTGTGATGAAGAATTTGGAAGGGGTTGGAAGGGCGGTGGTGGATTGGAAAGAAAGACTTCCTGCTTCATAGATTTTGCTACATGGGTATTTGGCTTAATACTTTTTGTATAAAAGCTATGTAGTGCCAATACTTAGAAATTGTCCTTTCTTCTATTTTAGGTTCGCTTATATTGTTTGATATACTAACAAATCAGAAAGAATCTTTGGGGGATATGGACAGTGAAAAGGTAATTTAGATATACAGATATACTTCTCTTGTACTATTTCTTGGGACAGATTTTTAGATTTTAGACTTATTTTTTTGTGAGTTCTTCCTGGACAGGGCTTTATTTTAGACTGTTTTATGTCTTAAACACTCTTTCCATAATAAGAACTCAATAAATGTTTTGTTAATGAAGATGAAGAAATACTTTGATAATCATTTATTTAAAAACATTGTTTCATCTAAAGTTGCAACACTTAGAGATTAACTACTTAATTTAAATTTTGTACAAATTACAGTTTATTTAAAGCTAAGTATATCTTTATATAGAACTCTTATATAGTACATTATTTTTATTGCTAGTAGTACTAATACAGGACAATCTAAATGAATTTAGAGAATATGAGCTTTACAACTTAATTTTTAGGATGCACCAAATATTGTCATGGATGAAGGAGACACACTGACACTAGAGGAAGGTTTGAAGAAACTTCAACTCTCTGAATTCTTTAATATCTTTGAGAAGGAGAAAGTAGATAAGGAAGCTCTGGTAAAAATAATGTTTTAAAACTTTATGCTATACTATTTTTAGTATTTTTATGCTTATCTTCATCTTACAGCTGATTAAGAGCCTGCCCTTTAGAAGCACTTTTGTCATAAAAACTCTGTTATCAGTAGTAATGTCCTTTAGCATTATCTATGTGTTTTTATCTTATAAAGTGATCTTTGCTTTGTTTGAGAGCAGAGTTCAGAGAAACCATATTGACAAACATTATAGTGATAGAGCAAAGACTAAAAAACAACATAGCTCAGAAAAGAGAGTAAGAATAAATGGACCACTAATTATTCTGGCTTATTTTCTGTTATACTTCAGGAGCTCTGCTGTTGATATTTGCTTACTTATTTGTTTTTGGTTTTTCCGCCACCTTTTTTGTGCTTTTTTTTCAGGCTTGCAATACATTCATTCATTTAATAGGTATTTAGTGAATGCTTTATATGATCAGGCATATTCTACCAAGTACTAGAGAGAGAGTGGTCAGTAAGATATGTAAACCATAAACATGTTATGTAAACATAAACATCATTATGTTTATGGCTTAGTGGGGAAGACACATATTAATAATCAAATATAATTCATTACAATTGTGGTAAGTTCTAAGTTGGAAAAGTACACAATAGTATTAAGAAAGTATAGTAAGACTAATGTAGTCTGGGAGGGTGAAGGAAGCTTTAACCTAATCAGGTGAGTGGCACTTAAGCTGAGATCTTGATTGTTAGTTTGTTTCATGCTCAGTGTTTGCTGTATGTTCTTACTGCTTATGTCCATGAGTAGGGATATAATCTTTCTCAGGAATGTGACATCTAAGTCAGCATGGAAATCAAGGAGTGTTCTTGTGTCATGCAGGTAGATACCCACTTCTGTAGGGTATATATTATATATATATATATATATATTATATATATATATATATATAATACAATGTCATCTGTATTACTGTAGCATTGATACTATAGTATTGGTACCTTTTATTCTTCTTTAGGCTTTTATGAATAAAGTACTCTTCTCAAAATTATTAATGATGTTGTACCACTAGGGAACCCTATTAATGTAAAGCAAAGAACAATAGTACTTAGGTCTTATTCCTCTCAGAGAACAGGACATTTAATTCATTTTATTTTGCCTAGAAATAAGGATATTTGATTTTCTGTGCCTAGGCTTTATGTACTGACAAAGATCTTCAGGAAATGGGAATTCCCTTAGGACCAAGAAAGAAGATATTAAACTACTTTAGGACCAGAAAAAATTCAACGGTATGTGCTTAATATGGCTTGTAGGATTAAATGGTTTTTGACATCCTTGTATCCTTGTGCTTTGTGAGGTGTTTAGGCAGCTAAGCAATTTTGTTAACTGATCTTTGGCTCTCCTTTTAGAAATTAAACACCTTTTCTTTCTTTTTCCTTTTTTTTTTTTAAAAGACTTTATTTATTTATTTGACAGAGAGAGAGCAAGCGAGAGCAGGAGCACAAGCAGGGGGAGTGGGAGAGGGAGAAGCAGGCTTCCTGTGGAGCAGGGAGCCTGATGAGGGGCTCAATCCCAGGGCCCTGGGATCATGACCTGAGCCGAAGGCAGACGCTTAACGACTGGGCCACCCAGGCGCCCCAAACACATTTTCTTAATTGATATCCTTAAAAAATGTTATTAGCTTCAGAAGTCTTGTCTCCCCTGGAGTCTTCCCACCATTCCATTTTTTTTCCTTTTTTTTGGGGGGGGGGGTTTCATAACCGCTTTATTGAAATATAATTCATGTCACATACCATAAAATTTACCCTTTTAAAGTATACAGTTCAGTCGTTTTTAGTGTATTCACAGAGTTGTGTCACGATTACCACTATCTAATTTGAGAACATTTACATCATCCTAAAAAGAAACCCCGTACCCATTAGCAGTCACTCCCCATTCCTCCCTCCTGTGAACCACTGGTCTGTTTTCTGTCGTTATGGATTTTGTTGTTCTGGACATTTCCTCTAAATGGAATTATACAGTATGTGGCTTTTTGTGACTGGCTTCTTTTACTTTAGAATAATGAACTTGAGGTTTATCCATGTTATAATAGTACTTTTACGTTCAGTTTTTTCGGCCACTAAATTCCTTTCCATATCTTAGTAGTTATTTTTCAATTTTGTAGCAGATTGTTTAGTTCTTATTTAAGGTCCAGTTCTTGGACCAGTATCTGTATCATTTTCTATACCCAGAGACATTCTACTCCTTAAAGGGGCATTGTGCTTCATTGAACCCCTTAGCAGCCCTCGGCATTCCTCTTCATCATGCTCTGCTGTTGTTTTTCTCATAATGGTCGCCTAAAGTTTCAACTGCCACCCAGATAGCTCTGTACAGCTTTCATTGATTTAGAGAATGTAGGGATGTCAGTTCATCACTTAAGACAACTTTTGTTTTCATCAGCTTTATCTTGTTTTCTGAGACTCTTCCTAGAATTATTCAAAACTTTCCTAAGTATTCTTTCAAATCAGTGAAAAACTATAATTCTTTGGATATTTTTACAACATAACAGCTCCATAGAATTATTTTATTCTTTAGGGTATTAATAGACCAACCCTGCAGCCAGCTTCAGGGGTGACTATATCTGACATCCCCAAAGAATCAGGCTTCTGCAGTAAAACCGACGCCACTGGAAATGGTGACTATCTGGATGTTGGTATTGGGCAGGTAACAATACTAATTAATTCTCTTGAGTCATTTTATTGCCTGCCATTGGTATGGTAGGAACAGATGTCACTTTTGTTATCAGTGAGAGGTACTTTTATATCCTCTTTCCAGGTGTCTGTAAAATACCCCCGGCTCATCTACAAACCAGAAATATTCTTTGCCTTTGGATCTCCCATTGGAATGTTCCTTACTGTCCGAGGACTAAAAAGAATCGATCCCAACTATAAATTTCCAACATGCAAAGGTTTCTTCAATATCTATCACCCTGTAAGCATTGGACAGCTCTTGTGTTTTTACCTGAATATTAGAGCTTATTGATGAAGAGCATATAATTTTCTATTGTGTTGATTTGCTTTTTTCTATACTATTTTGTGTTAATGAGACAGTTTTTAGTAGTGTGAATCTGAAAGTGATGGAGCAAAACAACTGTTTGTTTGTTTTTTTATGAGCTTATAATTATTTTTGCCTGATACACAGTTTTAAGACTGTCTTTCTTCAGCAGAGGTATCTGTAGCTATTATTTTTCCCGTATAGTTTGATCCTGTGGCCTATAGGATTGAACCGATGGTGGTCCCAGGAGTGGAATTTGAGCCAATGCTGATCCCACATCATAAAGGCAGGAAGCGAATGCACTTAGGTAAATCTGAATACAGAACTTGTAATTCTATACTGTCTGGTCATTGCAAACTGACTGGACCTCATTCACTTTGTTTAACTGTGTTGGACCCTAAACTCTTTGTAAACCACGTAATGTTCTTTATTCAAATATGTTTCAGAATTGAGAGAGGGCTTGACCAGGATGAGTATGGACCTTAAGAACAACTTGCTAGGTTCACTTCGGATGGCCTGGAAGTCTTTCACCAGAGCTCCATACCCTGCCTTACAGGCTTCAGAAACTACAGAAGAAACTGAAGCAGAACCTGAATCAAGTTCAGAGAAGCTGAGTGGTCAGTGATACTGTACACTTTGATATCCTACATTAGGTCAGATAAGAGTAACTCCATGGTGTGTATTTCTTTTTTTTTTTTTTTTAAAGATTTTATTTATTCATTTGAGAGAGAATGAGATAGAGAGAGCATGAGAGGGGGGAGGGTCAGAGGGAGAAGCAGACTCCCTGCCGAGCAGGGAGCCCGATGCGGGACTCAATCCTGGGACTCCAGGATCATGACCTGAGCCGAAGGCAGTCGCTTAACCAACTGAGCCACCCAGGCCCCCCATGGTGTGTATTTCTTATTCATGGTATAGGACCAGTACAATGAGCCCTAATGGGCCTTCAGCTCTGCTAGTCTTTTCTATTATCTAATAGTCACGAATTATGGAAAAACATTATTTGTGAGGAAAAATGTCAAGAGAAGCTGAATACCTGATAAAGAGGCTTTAAAAGACAACCCTCACTTGGGAACTCTTGGGGTTGTGTTAGGAGCCTCCTCTATGAAGCACCTTGCTTTACTAGGGCAATGTCTGTGTGTTCATTGGTCCGTTTTATTTGCCTGGCTGGGCACTAGCTAGTATACGCTCCTCTTAATTTCACAGTTAATGTTGCATTCTTTTTTTTTTTTTTTTAAAGATTTTATTTATTTATTTATTAGAGAGCGAGCGAGAGAGAAACAGCATGAGAGAGGAGAGGGTCAGAGGGAGAAGCAGGCTCCCCACTGAGCCGGGAGCCCGATATGGGACTCGATCCCAGGACCCTGGGATCATGACCGGAGCCGAAGGCAGTCGCTTAACCAACTTAGCCACCCAGGCGCCCCAATGTTGTATTCTTTTTGCTTTAATTTTCAACTGCCTAACGATTTCTATCCCTCCTTATATTTAGTTTATAAACCAGAGGCAAATGAATTGGCTATCAGAGGTAGAGGAAAGAAAAAATGGGATTGAACAAAATCATTGTGACTTGAGGAGAAGCTTTAAGGGGCTTGAGAGGAAGAAGGTACAGAAAGCTTTCTGAGCAGAGAGTACCTCATCCTACTGTAAACTTGGTAGTCTGAGGAGAAGTAAGGACAATCTTGGAGGGCTGGAAGCTTTTAGATTGTTGTTATGGTTCTTCTATGTCCAGATGTTAACACAGAAGAGACCCCTGTGGCAGTTAAAGAAGTCCCACCCATCAATGTGGGAATGCTGAATGGAGGCCAGCGCATTGACTATGTGCTACAAGAGAAGCCCATTGAAAGTTTTAACGAATATTTATTTGCTTTACAAAGCCATCTATGCTACTGGTAAGTGATGTTTGTTTTTGTTTCTTGGTGGGGTTTTTTTTTTTTTTTTTTTTGTCTGATTGTTGCACAGCTATTTGATAGATGTAGAAAAGGGAGGATAGGCTAGTGTACATTTGGGATTAGAGTGATTTCTCATTTAGACAGTTACAAAATAACAAAATTATGTCATTTAAAGAAATCTGGTTTAAACACATTGTTGTTTTACTTTGCAGTTGGGTAGAGCATGGGCTAATGATGCCAGCAACCATGAGTTCAGCTAGCTTAGTTTTATTTTATTTTATTTTTTAAGATTTATTCATTTGAGAGAGAGAGAGAGAGAGCGCACAAGCAGGGAGAGAGGGAGAGGGAGAAGCAGACTCCCCGCTGAGTAGAGACCACCCCCCCCCGACTTCTGGCTCGATCCCAGGACTCTGAGATCATGACCTGAGCCGAAGGCAGACGCTGAACCATCTGAGCCACCCAGGTGCCCCTGGCTAGCTTAGTTTTAAAAGTGGTGTCCTTTGGTCATTGGCGGGGGACAGGATGGGTACATATTAATGTTACTGTTGCTGAAAGTATTTTAAACTCATCTGAAAGTATTGACAGTAGCTAGATCAGAATTTATTATTTTCATTTTGTTTTAATGTTTACATTTTTAATGTTTAAATGTTTTTTCCAGATTTATTGAGATATAATTGACACATTATATAAGATGTTCAACAAGATTTGATACATGTATATATTATGAAATGATTAACACCTCCATGACCTCACATAATTACCTTGTGTGTGTGTGTGTGTTTGATGAGAACATTTAAGAATTACTCTCTTAGCAACTTCCAAGTATATGATACAGTATTATTAACTATAGTACCATGTTGTACATTAGATCCCCACAACTTATTCAACAGAATTAATCATTATTAAATATAATTATCTGATGGATTGTAGAATGGATTAATAATGCTTATTGAAATTCATACATTATAACAGAAAAGAACTTAATCACCAAAGAAATTTAAGCTAAAGGAAAATATAGCTAGGAAAATAAGATGGGTAGGGGATAAGGATTCAAAAATGCATGCTTTTAGGTCTTTTTTTTTTTTTTTTTAAGATTTTATTTATTTGTTAGAGAGCACAAGCAGGGGGAACAGCAGGCAGAGGGAGAAGCAGACTCCTCGCTGAGCAAGGAGCCCAATGCGGGAATCATTCCCAGGATCCTGGGATCATGACCTGAGCCGAAGACAGACACTTAACCGAGTGAGCCACCCAGGCACCCCTTAAATTATGATTATTTTTTTTAGTTTTTATGATATTTTGTTTTTTTAAAGATTTTTTTATTTATTCATTTGAGAGAGAGAGCAGGAGAGCACGAGCAGGGGGGAGGGGTGGAGAGAGGGAGAAGCAGACTCCCTGCTAAGCAGGGAGCCCTACACAGGGCTGGATCCCAGGACAATCCCAGGATTGGGGCTCAATCCCAGGACCCTGGGATCATGACCTGAGCTGAAGGCAGACGCTTAACCGACTGAACCATCCAGGTGCCCCATTTTTTTAAAGTTTTTATTTATTTATTTATTTATTTATTTATTTATTTATTTATTTTTAAAATTATTTTTCTGAGTTGTATCAAATTTTTTTTTTTTTAAAGATTTTATTTATTTATTTACGAGAGAGAATGAGAGACAGAGAGCACGAGAGGGAGGAGGGTCAGAGGGAGAAGCAGACTCCCCGCTGAGCAGGGAGCCCGATGCGGGACTCGATCCCGCGACTCCAGGATCATGACCTGAGCCAAAGGCAGTCGCTTAACTGACTGAGCCACCCAGGCGCCCCTAAAGTTTTTTTTTTTTTTTTTTTTTTTTTTTTTAAAGATTTTATTTATTTGACAGAGCACAAGCAGAGGGAGAGAGAGGGAGAAGCAGGTTCCCTACTGAGCAAGGAGCCGGATATGGGACTCGATCCCAGGACCCTGGGATCATGACCTGGGCCGAAGGCAGCCGCTTAACCGACTGAGCCACCCAGGCGTCCCGCCCCTAAAGTTTTTATTTAAATTTCAGGTAACATACAGTGTAATATTAGTTTCAGATGTACAATATAGTGATTCAGCACTTCCACACACCTGGTGCTCATCACAAGTACACTCCTTAATCCCCATCACCTATTTAATTAACTGTTCCCCTCATCTACCACCCCTCTGGTAACCATCAGTTTGTTCTCAAGAGTCTGTTTCTTGGTTTGCCTCTCTTTTTTTTCTTTGCTCGTTTGTTTTATTTCTTAAATTCCACATGTGAGTGAAATCATACAGTATTTGTCTTTGTCTGACTTACTTCACTTGGCATAATAATACTCTCTAGCTCCATCCATGTCATTGCAAATGGCAAGACTTCATTCTTTTTTATGGCTGAGTAGTATTATATTATGTATGTATACCACCTCTTCTCTATCCATTCATTTATTGATGGACACTTGGGCTGTTTCCATAATTTGTCTATTGTTGATAATGCTGCTATAAACATTGGGGTCCAGGGGTCCAGGGTGGCGCGGTCAGTTGAGCGCCCAGTTCTTGGTTTTGGTTCCAGTTGTGATCTCGGGGTGGTGGGATTGAGCCCCATGTTGGGTTCCTTGCACAGTGCAGAGTCTTCTTGAGACTCTCCCTCCCTCTCCCCCTCCTCCCGCTACTTCCTCGCTCTCTCAAATAAATCTTAAAAAAAAATCAGGGTACATGTATCCCTTTGAATTAATGGTTTTTTTTTTTTTAGAGAACATGCATGGGGGTGAGGAGAATGGTGAAGGGGAGGCGCAGAAGAGAAGCAGAGGGAGAGAATCTTAAGCAGGCTCCACGCCTAGCTTGGGCCGGCACAGGGCTCAATCTCACAACTATGAGATCATGACCTGAGCAGAAACCAGGAGTCAGGTGCTTAACTGAGCCACCCAGGTGCCCCTGAATTAGTGTTTTTGTATTCTTTGGGTAAATAACTAGTAGTGCAATCGCTAGATCGTAGGGTAGTTTTTTTTTTTTTTTTAGTGATTATACTGATTTTATTACTTTTACTAAGCCATTTTCTTTTCTTCACACTCAATGCAAAGAAATAAAACAATATAAAGAAAAATACGTCCTCATTCACAATAAAAAGGGTCTGCTTCATTCTGCAGGACTGGGCGTTTTATATAATAGGGAGCACTTAATGGCTCAAGTGGATCAAAGTACCATTTTGATTCTGTCCCACTGAATAGAATCTCATGCATATTTGGTGACTGGACTAACTTCATGGGAGCTGTGATGTATTGAACCATTTCTGTGGTATCCCCAGATCTCACTAAATAAGAAAAGACTCCACATAAGAAAAAATAACAATCTGTCCATAACTTATATCTATAGACTCTTTGGTATAAAGTGGGAAAAGAGGCCCTTTCTGGAGTATGTGGATACAAGTATTTTTGTGGTCTCAAGATTGCTGGATTGATACTGTTTCACTGTAATGAAAATAAGGTGTACATCAACACCACTGCCAGATTAAGGAACTTCCACAATTTGTCTCAGTTCTTCAAATAACGGAGCGAGTTCCTTTTCTAGTCTGACAGGGAGTCCTGTACCATCATTACTGCTGGCTATGAAACTCACCACCAGAGGTAAATGATTGGATTGAACGACGTGGTAGGTATTATAGTAACAGATGATACTCTTATTTTTTGAAAGTCCAAGTTTGCTCCATTGGTTTGTTGCAAGGGCAAAAGTAGATAAGAAACCAAGTCGGAAAGCATGCTCTGGAGCACTGTCATTGCCTCTTTAATAACAGGTGTTCTGTGTGACCCAACAATAGCATGGAGCCCTTCAACAGTGGGCAATTTTTTTTTCATTGTGGTTTTTATTTTCTTTTTATTAACATATAACACACTATTTGTTTCAGAGGTACAGGTCTGTGGACAGTGGGTAATTTTTTATACAGGAATTGCTTTAGGTCATCTGCCATGTTGAACATGATGAACCCCTTCATCCCGCAGGATCAGTCTCCATTCCTGGCTTTTTGGGCTGCTGTGTTCTCTTAGCCCTAAACTCAGGGACAGCTTCAAAGATGGTCTTCATCTTAGGGTAGTTCTAGTTTTAACTTTTTGAGGAATTCCATACTGTTTTCCAGAGTGGCTGCACCAGTTTGCATACCTACCAACAGTCCAGGAGGGTTCCCCTTTCTCCACATCCTTGTGAAAAAGGCATTCTTTAGGGGCACCTGGGTGGCTCAGTTGATTAAGTGCCTGCCTTCGGCTTAGGTTATGATCCCAGGGTCCTGGGATCAAGTGCTGCATCTGGCTCCCCGCTCAGCGAGGAGTCTGCTTCTCCCTCCGCCTGACGCTCCCCCTGCTTGTGCTCTGTCGCTCTCTCTCTAACAAATAAATAAAATCTTAAAAACACTAGAAGGCATTCTTTAGAGATTTCTGAGTGTGTAGTACATTCATATGGTTCACCATGCAAAGAAAGACAAATAATGAAAGCCTCTCTTCCATTTTGTTCCCTGCTAACTACCTTCTCCATATGCAAGTAACATGCATTTCTTGAAATTTTTTCTAGAGGTCTATTTTATGCATACATAACACAGGTGTGAGTGTGTGAATATATTATTTCTCTCTTTTAACAAGTATAGATAGTATCATATTATAGGCATTGTTCTGTAACTTGCTTTTTCTACTAGCAAGTCTTGGGAGTTTTCTGCTTGTTGTATATAAAGAGTTCATTCTTTTATAGCTTTAGTATTCTACTGTATCAATGTACCATAATTTCTTTAACTAGTCCTGTACTAATGGGTTACTTTAGATTTCTGTCCTCTTGCTCTTTATACACCTTGTTCATATTTTACCTATTCATGAGTGTATCTGTAAATACTTAGAATTGGAATTGCTGGCATAAAGAATACATGGATTTGTAATATTTGATAATTATTGCCAAATAGAAGTTGTACCTTTTTGTACTCCCACCAGGAATATATGGGAGTGTCTTGTTTCCCCACAGCTTTTCCAGCGTAGTTTTTAAAAATTCTTATTTTTTTATTTTTAAAATTTTTATTTTTTAAAATTCAAGTTTAATTAACATACAGTGTCATATTAGTTTCAGGTGTTCCATATAATAATTTTCCACGTTCCATATATTTTTGTGGAAATATTTTTTTTCGTTTTTAGATTACTTTTTTTATTAACATATATTATTTGTTTCAGGGGTACAGGTCTGTGATTCATCAGTCCCACACAATACACAGCGCTCACCACAACTGATACACCCTCCCCAGCATCCATCACCCAGCCACCCCATCCCTCCCACCCCCCTCCACTCCAGCAACCCTCAGTTCGTTTCCTGAGATTAAGAGTCTCTTGTGGTTTGTCTCCCTCTCTGGTTTCATCTTGTTTCATTTTTTCCTCTCTTCCCCTATGATCCTCTGCCTTGTTTCTTAAATTCCTCGTATCAGTGAGATCATATGATAATTGTCTTTCTTATTTTGCTTAGCATAATACCCTCTAGTTCCATCCACGTTGTTGTAAATGGCAAGATTTCATTTTTTTGATGGCTGCATAATATTGCATTGTGTATATATATATATATATACACATCACATTTTTTTTATCCATTCATCTGTCGATGGACATCTGGGCTTTTTCCATAGTTTGGCTATTGTGGACATTGCTGCTATAAACATTGGGGTGCTGCATGTACCCCTTCGGATCATTACATTTCTATCTTTTTTTTTTTAAAGACTTTATTAATTTATTTGACAGAGAGATAGCACAAGTAGGCAGAGGGAGATGGAGAAGGAGGTTCCGAGTCGAGCAGGGAGCTGGGCGCGGGGCTCGATCCCAGGACCCCAGGATCATGACCCGAGCCTAAGGCAGCCACTTAACCAACTGAGCCACCCAGGCACCCCACTACATTTGTTTCTTTAGGGTAAATACCCAGTAGTGTAATTGCTGGGTCATAGGGTAGCTCTATTTTCAACTTTTTGATGAACCTCCATACTATTTTCCAGAATGGCTGCACCAGCTTGCATTCCCACCAACAGTGTAGGAGGATTCCCCTTTCTCTGCATCCTCGCCAACATCTGTCGTTTCCTGACTTGTTAATTTTAGGCATTATGACTGGTGTGAGGTCATATCTCATTGTGGTTTTGATTTGAATTTCCCTGATGGCTAGTGATGTTGAGCACTTTTTCATGTGTCTGTTGGTCATTTGGATGTCTTCTTTGCAGAAATGTCTGTTCATGTCTTCTGCCCATTTCTTGATTGGATTATTTGTTCCTTGGGTGTTGAGTTTGATAAAATCTTTTTTTAAAATTTTTTTATTATTTATTATTATTTTTTGAAGATTTTATTTATTTGACAGAGAGAGAGACAGCTAGAGAGGGAACACAAGCAGGGGGAGCGGGAGAGGGAGAAGCAGGCTCCTGGCTGAGCAGGGAGTCCTGTGTGGGACTCGATCCCAGGACCCTGGGATCATGACCTGAGCTGAAGGCAAGCGCTTAACGACTGAGCCACCCAGGCGCCCCCCCCTTTTTTTCTTAAAGAGTGATGTATTTGAGAAAGAGAGCAGGGGAGGGGCAGACGGAGAGGAAGAGAATCTCAAGCAGACCCGCTGACCCTGACATGGGGCTCGGTCTCATGACCCTGAGATCATGACCTGAGCCAAAACCAAGAGTAAGACGCTTAGCCGACTGAGCCACCTGGGCACCCCCCCCTTTTTAAAGATTTTATTCATTCATTCATTTATTTATTTAGAGTGTGTGCAAGCCAGGGGGAGGGGTGGAGGAGCAGAGGGAGAGGACAGAGAGAATCTCAAGCAGACTCTGCTGAGCACAGAGCCCAATGCAGGGCTCGATCTCATGACCCTGAGATCATGACCTGAGCCAAAACCAAGAGTGGGACACCTAACCGACTGAGCCACCCAGGCGCCCCGCCATCTGTACACCTTCTTTGGTGAACTGTCTGTTCAAATCTTTTGCCTTTTAAAAAATAATAGATTGTCTTATTAAGTTGCCAGAATTCTTTCTATATTATAGTTACAAGTCCTTTTCAGATACATGTTTTTTCCTCAAAATATGGCTTTTCGTTTTTCCAGAATGTTTTGAAGAGCAAAAGTTTTTGACTTTGATGTAGTCCAATTTATTGACATTTGTGCCTTTTTAACATATTTAAGATATCTTTGCCAAGCCCAAAGCCATTAAAATATTACCTGTATTCTAGAAATTACATCATTTTAGCTTTTATATTTAGGTCTGTGATCCATTTTCATTAATTTTTTAATATGGTGTGAGGTAAGGATTGAAGTTCATTGGTTTGCATGTGGCTATCTAGTTGTTGTAGCAACATTTGTTGAAAAGTTTATTCAGATGGAGAAATCATTGAATTGTCTTGGGTCTATTTTGTTCCATTGGTCGATTTCTCTTTATGCCAGTAAAACAGTCTTGATTACTGTAGCTTCAGAATAAGTCTTGAAATCAGGTATTGTGAGTCATCCAACTTTATTCTTCTTTAAAATTATTTTAGCTATTGTCGGTTCTTTGCATTTCCACGTTTTAGATTGAGCTTGTTAATGTCAACCAAAAAGCTTTCTGAGATTTTGATTGTGATCGCAAATATTTTATCTACAGATCAATTTGGGGAGAATTGACATCTGAATAATAGAGTCTTCTGAGCCACAAACACAGTATCTCTAAGTGTATTTTGGTCTTTAATTTCCCTCAGCAATGTTTTGTAGTTTTCAGTGTATGTATTTTGCATGCTGTAGTGTTTTTGTTTTTTTTTTTTTAATTTTGCTTATTTATTCATGAGAGATCACATGAACACGTGAGCAGGGGGAAGGAGAAGAGGGAGAGGGAGAAGCAGGCAACCTGCCAAGCAGGGAGCCCAATGTGGGGCTCGATCCCAGGACCCTGGATCATGACCTGAGCCGAAAGCAGACGCCCAGCTGACTGAGCAACCCAGGTGCCCCACGCTATAGTTTTTAAATTACATTCGTCGTATGCTCCTTTTTCTCTTCAGATCAATCTTTTGCCTTTTATTTAAAAAAAAAAAATTGCATTCCTCCAGTTATGAGTAAGATTGAGCATCTTGACATATATTTAAGGACCATTTTTATTTCCTTTTCTGGGAGTTATTTATATTCTTTATTCTCTTTTATATTGAAATGTTTTTTGTTGTTGTTGATTGTCTGTGATGAGTTGCAAATGCCTTTTCCCCAGTTTGTCTTTGACATTGCAAACATTGGTTTTTGCTAAGTAGAAAAGATTGATTCATATTTGTTGATTTTTCCTCTCTGGTTTCTAGAATATGTGTCATACTTACATCTTCCTTATCCTCCGAAGAATTCCTTACCACAGTTTATTCTGATATTTTATGGTTTCATTTTTACATGTGAATGTTTGATTCACTTTGGATTTATTCTAGTAACAGGTATAGATTGGTTCAGGTCATTTTCCAGATGGCTATCCATTTGTCACAACACCGTTTGTTCTCTGTATATGAGTCTGGTTTGAGAGTCTCACTTTATTAAATTCCTATATAGACTTAGGACTATTTCTGAACTTCCTCTTTTTTTCTGTTGATCTGTTTATTTATGCACCAGGATCACACCATTTTAACATCTGGTTTAGCTAATGCCCCTTCACTGGCATAGGAGGAATTTCTTAACCTTAAGTCTGTATGGGGTTTTTAGGGGATAGAAAAAGCATATGAATCCAATGAAATTTTATTTATAATATTTATATATATATTTAAATTACATTCCTCGTGTGCTAAAGTATTAAAAATATATTTTATTATAATATATATATAAAATCTTTTCTGGAGAGAAACCCATTGGTTTCATTAGATTCTCAAGTAGATACATGATTCAAAAAATGTTAAACCATGGATTTAGAGAAATGTTCGAACTATATGTCCTTAAGGCAGTCCTTCATGATGTTGTTTTTTTTATAATCAAATTTCTTTATGAACTGGATGTAAGTAATTGGGCACACACAGAATAATATCTGGAAGATGCATGAGAAGTTGATAACATTGATTGTCAGAAGATGGGAACTGGTGGTTAAGAAACAGAGGTGGAAGGGAAACTTCATTATTACAGTCTTTCATATCTTGAATTTTGAACCATATGATTGTATTATCTTTTTAAAAAGGTGAATAACATTTAAAAAATTAAGGTGACCAACTGGATGGCTCTTCCATATTGTTCTAAGAATGAGCTCTGTGGAAAGGGAACAATTCTTGGTTGGTCATTTCCTACTAGTTGTTTTGTATTACCAGACATAATGTTGGACTTTTTTTTTTAAATTGTAGTTGACATACAATGTAATATTAGTTTCAGGTGAATCACTGCATAGTGAATTGACAGTTCTTTACATTACTCAGTGCTCACCATGATAAGTGTAGTCACCATATATTATTACAATATTACCGACTATATTCCCTGTGCTGTACTTTTCATCTCCATGACTTACTTATTTTATAACTGGAAGTTCGTACCTCTTAATATCCCCCTCACTTATTTCACCCATCCCCCCACCCCTCTCCCTTCTGGCAACCACGTTTGTTCTCTGTATGTATGGGTCTGGTTTTTGTTCATTTGTTTTGTTTTTTAGATTCCACATATAAGTGAAATCATATGGTATTTGTCTCTTCACTTAGCATCCTCTAGGTCCATCCATATTGTGGCAAATGGCAAGATTTCATTATTCTTTATGGCTGAGTTATAGTCCACTGTAAAATGAACTTTTGCAAAAATGAACTTGAAGGTGGTTGTGTAGATTACATGAGATAGTATATATAAAACCTCTAGTATAAAAGTTAGTTTCTTCTTTTTACAACCTAAGTTTTCCTCTTTACAGGGAGTCTGAAGATACAGTATTGCTGGTCCTCAAAGAAATCTACCAAACCCAGGGCATCTTCCTTGATCAGCCTTTACAGTAAAAATGAATCATGTGTGGCTGCTTAATGTAAGTTTTTAAATGTCATGTATGCAGCATATTTCCTACATATTAACATGTTATGAGGAACAGTGTAGCCTTGAGCTCTTTTTTTTTTTAAAGATTTTATTTATTTATTTGAGACAGAGAGAATGAGAGAGAGAGAGCACATGAGAGGGGGGAGGGTCAGAGGGAGAAGCAGGCTCCCCGCCGAGCAGGGAGCCCGATGCGGGACTCGATCCAGGGACTCCAGGATCATGACCTGAGCCGAAAGCAGTCGCTTAGCCAACTGAGCCACCCAGGCGCCCAGCCTTGAGCTCTTTATAAATGTACTTTTCTGTTGCCTGTCACCAAGATCTAGGTTATTATTATTATTATTTTTATTTTTTTTATTTTTTAAAGATTTTTATTTATTTATTCATGAGAGAGAGAGAGGCAGAAGGAGAAGCAGGCTCCCAAGGAGCAGAGAGCCTGATGCGGCACTCGATCCCAGGACCCTGGGATCATGACCAGAGCCGAAGGCAGACGCCTAACCATCTGAGCCACCCAGGCGCCCAAGATCTAGGTTATTATTTTTAGAGGGACTCTGGTTAAAATTGCTGAAGGAAAAGTGCAATAGCCCATTTAGAGAAAGTTCGTGTGTGTGTTTTTGCAAGTGACTTGGTCCAGTAGCACCTGTCATTTTTTAGGATCTGAACTCCGAATCTAAATAGTTCTGATCATCTAAGAGTTACCATTGGCACCAGTAACGATCTTAATGACGAACAGCCCATCCTGAGATTTAAGTTCCTCTGCCTTTTATTTTTTAATTTTTTTTATTTTGAAGATTTTATTTCTTTATTGGAGAGATAGAGAGAGCTAGCGAGCACAAGTCGGGGAGAAGGAGAAGCAGACTCCCCACAGAGCAGGGAGCCCGATGCGGGGCTCGATCCCAGGACATCAGGACCGGAGCTGAAGGCAGAGCTTAATAGCTAAGCCACCCAGGCACCCCTCCTCCACCTTTTAGATGTGTAACTAGAAAGTTCTTGCATTAGACTCCAGCATTCTGGCTGGTTGCCTTCCAGTTGTGACTGCATCATGACCTCTGTTCCACTCTTCCCTAGACGGACACTGAAGGATCCTCCCCCAGAAAATGCACCTGCTTGTTGCTGCCGTTTCCCTCTCCTCAGCTGCATCATTTCCTGCATGTTGCCTGCCACTTACTTACCACCGGGGTCTTTGGAAGATAATCTTGTTATCTCGGAAGTGAGTGAAAAAACAAAGGGAAGACCCTATTACTTTTTACCACTGGCTTTATAGAAGCACTTGCCACTCTTCATAGTGGGGGTTGTTTGCATCTTTAATTCCAGATGATAGGTGCCATCCTTTATTGCTTATTACTTGAGATAGTATAAAGTCTGTTTTGAGTTTATTTTGGCTTGGTAGAAATTTTTCTAGGAAATTATTGCTTTAGAAAATGTTCTAGTTTGGAGAAGGCTCCGGAGATTCAGAAGGCATTTTGGGGTACACTCATCTCTCATTGGTGTTCTCTGTATTTGAAGGCTAAGTGGGTGTGAAAAAGATTGTTGGGCACCTTCCTTTGAGCCAGCTTTTCTTTCCTACAAGTCCTGTGTGAGGGACTGAAATGTAGCTTACAGAGAGTATTGTTTACTCTCTACAGCTGACAGTTGATGGCATGGAATCACTGATGCTATTCATTGTTTTCCGAGCTGTTCGAGCTGCTTTCAGAGTTTACAGTGGATAGTTTAGTTCACATTAGGTGCATCTTTATAAAGCAAAGATATTATATATCCTAGACCTGTCCTTTCGTATCATGCTCAAATGGGGAGACTCTCAATGAAATCTGACTTAGTTGATAGTAGCTTCTGTTCTTGAGGGCAAAGTTATAAAGGCTGGCAAACCTGAACTCACACAACCTTGACCGGCTGCTTTGGTTATGAGTAAAATCTTTCAGTAGTACTTTTTTTTTTTTTTTAAGATTTTATTTATTTATTTGAGAGAGAGAGAATGAGAGAGAGCACATGAGAGGGGGAAGGGTCAGAGGGAGAAGCAGACTCCCCGCCGAGCAAGGAGCCCGATGCGGGACTCGATCCCGGGACTCCAGGATCATGACCTGAGCCGAAGGCAGTCGCCTAACCAACTGAGCCACCCAGGCGCCCTCAGTAGTACATTTAAGGTGAAATAGAATTTGTGAGTCAACCACCATATCCACTTGGGTGAAGGCAGTATTGTGTGTCCTCTTTGAAAACATTTTGTAAACACCATTGCCTGCTTAGGTACCCATAATCCAGAAAGCTTATTTAACAGCCCCATGGCACAGGCCGTGTTGGCTGGGCAGGTGGCTTTGGCTGGGGGACAGGCTTCCTATTCTGAAAGAAAAACCTATGCCTGTAGGAGCAGAGGAACAGCCAGTGCGGAGTCCACGTCAGAACGTGCAAAGTGAGGTGTACCTTGAAGATGGGTGCATACAGATTGATTTCTTCCAGGGCATCTGCTCACCACTGCGCTGTATTTTCTTTCTCATTGGTCAGAGTTTGTCACTCACTTTGCAGTTCTCTTTGTGATAGTCCTTTACCCTCCACTCCGATTCCCATAGGCCTCTCTGTTTATAGAGTGGCAGAGGCAGGCAAGCTGTGTTTTGTTTTTATAAAAAATGATTTGTAAATATATCATGGTATCCAGTGCATTGGCATTTAACATTCACTTAAGCCATCCCTTTGACAGCAGTGGTCTCTCTCCCTTTCCAGAGAGAAAAGGAAAGGGAAGGTTAATCACCGTCACCCTAGAGATGGCAGAGGTAAGGCTGGGGTACAGGACCCATGCCTGGCCTTTACTTGTCCATCTGCTTATAGACTAATGCTAAGCCACTAAGAAATGTCAGATATATGGAATACTTTTATATTCTTTACTATATAAATTGAGTTTGAAGTAAGGGTTACTGAGAATTAAGTAGCATTCAATTATATTTTAAAGGGGAAACTTTTGTCAAGTTGTTGTCTTCAAATTTAAATTTATTCTTCATATTAGCAGAATAGATACTATTTAAGAGTAAACCAAAGGACAAGCAAGAATGAGTCCCTGTAACCAAAGATGAACAGCATAACCCTGGACACCTAGATAAACCACTGTTGGTACTAAGAAATGTTTTCTGATGGTGAGGGGCAGGCAACTGTAAAGGAGCTTTATATCTTGTCTCTCCGCCTATGGTATCATGGTTGTATAGTACACAGGATAGTAAGTTTGAGTTAAATTCTTAGTTGTATATTATTTGCACTACTTCAGTTGTATCATGTGCAATCTCTTGACCAAGCCTATTTTTAAACTCTGTAGAGTATCATTTTATACATATTCCCTGTTACAGAATTTGTATTGCTTAGCTCAGCAAGAGATTGTCTGCATGGAAAGATTAATAGCACTGATTAGCTTTCTGATATTTTGCACTTTTTGAAATGTTTGTTTTTTACATGATTCTATTTAAAAGTTTACTAAATACTGAAATAAAACCATATTGACCCAGTTGCCTACTTTTACCTGGTTCGATCCATAATAGAAAAGAATAATACAATAACCATTTTCTTCCCCTTTATGTTATTAAACAAATTAAGAAAATAAAAGTTTGGGGCAAAGAACTATTATTTAAGTTCTTTTCCCTTGACTGGTGTTTTCATTATCATAGGCAGATGTAGTTCAGAATTTAAAGCATGGCAATTACAAAGTCAATATTGAGACTGTTCTTCAATATTTACAGGTAATCAGCCTCCACTACAGCCAGTTAGATCACTTTATGTCAGATGGGGTGGGGAAGCCAGTGTTTTTCTTTGGAAATGTTCCAGCTCTCGAACGGTACTCTACGTACCAAAAACACCCATGTTCACCATTTTTGACTGTCACATTTATTGAAGGAAAAAGATAGATACATTGAAAATATAGAAAGTATGATCGCAAAGAGCAGGGCAGTTGTAGGTCCTATAGCATCAGTTCTGATGATGTCCTGTAATTGTCCCTTATATCCCATTATGAAGAAGAGACAGAAAAAGTTCATTTTGTCCTCCAGAGAACATGTGTAATTTTTCTTTCCTGCCTTAGCCAGTTGCAGAGTTGATGCATTTGGGCAGCTCTTCAGTCACGCATGGAGGGAAAGCAGCTCATGAACACAGTTCAGGAGTGCGGTTTCAATACTAGCAAGTGATGATTTCCACTTCATTTGTCCTTACCATTTGTAAAAAATTGTTTATTTAGTGATTCAATAAATTATGCCCACAGGATTCAAAGTGGACAGCAGTATCTGGCTAGACTCAAGTAAGATACAGGTCTAACGTGGTAAAGAAGCCACAACTGGACATTTTCCTACTTAAGGCTTGATGGAATCGTCACCAGAGAAAGTAAACAGAACCAAATAATTTAGTTGGTCATCTTGGGTTGTAAGATTTTGAGCTATGGAAAATGGAAATTTAACTCTGGGTTCTAGGGGTTCTAGGATATGTAAAGGTTTCTTTGTGAAAGAGCCTTCCAAGAATGACATTTAAATTAAACGTAAAATGCTGTAGATCTTGGGATACCAATCTGGTGGACTACTGGAAGATTTCTTTATCAGAATGTGTGGCACAGAGTTGTGAAAAAGAACCCTGAACCCTGACTCATGACAAATCCATGTGAGCAAAACTGCATAAACATACGGAGACAGAATGAAGTGCTCACCTGTATCTCTTAAGAGTAAAAAGGTCAGACTTTCTTGTCTTGCGCAGTTAAGAGGGGCTGCTTCACCTCATCTCCACGGAGGTAGTTCTAGTTTCTAAATACTAAAATGATAAGGGTCACCAGGCTTCTGTGCCACGGGCAGTGCAAGGCTGTCCTGAAACGGTTTATGGCATTCTGCATCCGTCAGAGGAGGATAATACTGCCTGTAGCAGACATAGGCAAACGTCAGGCCAATCATGGCTCCAACCAGTACATCTAAAAGAGAGGAGATAAGGTCTTTTCTTAATCACTGGACTCTCAAATCATGTTAAAACACCACATGTTACTGGCATACCGATATTGAGGGTTCGATTCCAGATCACTGCCAATAAAGCGAGTATTTCAATAAAGCAAGTCAAATGAATTTTTCGGTTTCCCAGTGCATATAAAAGTTATGCTAACACTATCCTGTAGTCTCTTAAAGTGTACAATAGCACTAGATCTAAAAAAAAGTATATACCTTAATTTAAAAATACTTTATTGCTAAAAAATGCTAACCATCATCTGAGTTTTCGGCAAGTCATAATCACTAATCACAGATCACTATAACAAATATAATGAAAAGGTTTAAAACACTGCAAGAGTTACCAAAGTATGACGGAGACAGGTGAGCAAATGCTGTTGGAAAAATGGTGCCGACAGACCTGCTTACCGTAGGGTTGCTAGAACCTTCCACTGGCAAGAGACACAGCTCTCTGTGAAGTGCAGTACAATGGGGGACGCCTCTATAGAGAACTTGGCCCTCCAGGTTACTCTACTTGTTTGGGTGCAAAAAACCTCAATTTCACATTTATCATATAGTTAAAAGGATTATCATCAGGTTCTTTCCTAAACAAGTTAAAACACATCTTTGGGGGCGCCTGGGTGGCTGAGGTCATGATCCCAGGCTCCAGGGACACCCCCCACATCGGGCTCCTTGCTCAGTGGGGAGCCTGCTTTCTCCCTCTGCCTTTGTGCCTCTCCCCCACTCGTGCCCACTCTCTCTCTCTCAAATAAAGTTTAAAAAAACCCCACATCTTTAAGTAAATATAAGCCTTTTTCCGAGGATACGCTAGATTGAATTTTTTTTTAATTCAACTAGGCAACACAGAGTACATCATTAGTTTCAGAGGTAGAGTTCACTTATTCATCAGTTGCATATAACGCCCAGTGCTCATCACATCACGTGCCCTCTTTAATGCCCATCACCCAATTACCCCATTCCCCCACCCACCTCCCGCTAGAGTGGATTTTTTAAAAATTCAAGATAACAAAGTTTCACTTACTGCTATTAACCCCTTTTTCACCATGTAAAGAGTTCTAGAGAAAGCAAAAAACTGTCCAGGAGTTGCTCTTCTTTGCAAAAAATTAGCTTATTCTTAAAAACAGGGCTCCTAAGGACTTCCGGGCAATACTATCAGCTTTTTTTGAATTACGGGTTTTCCGTGAAGATACTCTGTAATTTGGATGTTTTACTATATCATTCAACTTAAATTTCTTTGGCTTAACTACAATTTTATGTTTTCTTGAATTTTGGTTTCTGAACAAAAATCTCATGAGAACGAGCTTGATTTTTTTTTTTTTACAAACTTGATTTTTATTTTAAGACAGTAAGTAAATTGATCTTTGTAAAAAATTTCTTAGAGAAAAAAATTCTTAGAGAATTTATTCTGAACTTAGGATGCTTCAAAATAATGGAAAAATTGGGACATTTCTCCTTGGTAATCTCTTTAAAAGGAAACTGCTTTCTCACCTTCCACACAGCTATACATACTCTTGGTTCAGAAACCCAGACTATCCCAGACTCATTTGTTTATTCATTTAACAGATACAGTCAGCGTCTCCTCTGTGCCAAATGCTAGGGATACAGTGGCAGGTGAAACATGCAGACTTGCATCGCAGGAACACCTTGCTTATTACCTTGCCAGTGATGCTTATAGTCACAGGTGCGGGACAGCGCGATCACAGATGCGAGGAGGAGAGGTGACAGAAAGGCACAGAACCTCCAAGACTTCCCACGGCCTTGTGGTGTGAAGCAATGTAACTTCCCCGCCAGGTAGAAGGAAGCGAAGGCCAGACCAGCAAATGCAACTAGAAGAGGGAAAACCTGTAAGTCTTACATCTTTTAAAGGAAGCTCCCTCACTCATCTGCAACTAGGTGGCTGGGGGCATGAACATGTTTTATCCTTTTTTGGTACACTTGTGGTGTAGATCATTGACGAGGAGGACACAAAAGGAAAAATGAAGGACTTTACTGTGTGTCCCATAGGTAATAATACCCTTAGGAATAGTGTTTGGAATACTGGCATTAAGACTTTGGGCAGGTTACTTCTTGATGCCTTAGTTTCCTGATGTATAAATAGGAATCATAAAAATAATAGTATCAACCTCTTTAGGCTATTATGGTACCAAAAGAGATAAGAATAAAAAAATGCTTTCCAAAGCACCTGCAATAAAGGTTAGTTAATATTTTTCTAACTAGTACCAGATTGCAGGATCTAGACAAATAATCCAAGACTCATAAAATGTTCAAATCTCATGAAGGTAAACTACTTCCTCTGTCCTTGAATATTTACCCTAATACTTGAGGCTCAGGCTTGTGAAATCTTGGTGTTATTAAAGAAGGAGGGGATTCTCTAGTTTTTAGATACAAGAACAAGAGTAGAGAGATGGCCCCATCCTCATAAGCTTCCTAAGCTGAATTCAGTGACCCCAAAAAGGCACAGATGCTGAGTCCCTGTGGTATTCATACAGGAAGAATGTCCACTAGGGAAGCTCTTGCGGCCCTCATTCACCACGTCCTTCTCCCCTGTGCACGTCAAGTCGGACTGGGCTTGCCCATCGGGGAAGCAGCGGTAGAAGAAGTCTGGGCGTGGCCTGAAAAAATAAACATGGTCTCAACACAGATCACTTAACAACTCCAGAAATTATTTTTTGGTTGTATCAGATACTGTAATCCTGTTCACAGTTGGTCAGATTTAGTGTCCCAGGCAAAATAATGAAACTGGATTAGGATAGTCACCATTAAAAGAAAAACATGATTTCCAAGGTCCACATTTAAAGGAAGGGGGGGCAGTCCAACACACGGTAACTTTTTAGGGCAAAGAGCAAGCCACCCTGCAGCTTCAGGGGGTGTTCAGAGGACACGGACCCCGCTGTGCTGGTCCGTGGGAACCGCTGTTCAGGGCAGCAAAGAGCCCAAGTGTCACCCGCAGGACAGCCGTAGGGAAGGGAGGCCATGTTAGGTGAGAAGAGCAAGGTCAGACTGAGGATAGAGGACAGGGTGCGGTTAACCATCTCCTGCGGACTAGGCCGAGGCAGGCTCCGGGGCGCGGACTCTGGCCACTTACCTGCCCACTATCAGTTTTATTGTGTTGGTAAAGACACCATTCAGAGCCAGGGCAAGGCTGGCAGCTGGAACGCAAAGAAACTTCCTGTTAGTGCTTTCTGCCTAGGAGGACTTGCGCGGTCACGGTGCCATCAAGAGAGCAGCCAGGGTCTTTCTGAGACCGGAACGGGCAGGCTCCAGCCGGAGCGGAGCAGAAAAATCATTCTAGCCTTGAACGTGGTGGAGTACAGAGAGAGCTTCCGTACTAGGCTGGACACTAGGCTGGGGTACAAATCATCCAGCGCATCGTTCACCTCGGAGGTTAACGATGTTCTGAGTGCCACTCTTCTCACGGGTGACAACACGGGTCCAGGGGAGATAGGACGCCTTGAAGAATGCACAACTCAGTGGCCTCCACACGCAGAGGTCACACCTCCAGTGGCCGAGATGACAGCACGGAGGAGCTAG